TCTATTAATACATAACATCTAACTATACTAAAAATCCGCTTCGTCTTGTTATGGGGACATAATCAGTTTCATAGTAATAGTCCGTTCCGGTCGTCAAATCCGATAACATAGCACTTAGTTGAAGGCCATCTCGAAAAGCCATGTTTTCAGGCCCTTACGAAAGGCCATGAGGGAGGGCGCCTGTCTAATTTCAGCGGGGAGGGAGTTCCACAGCCGGGGGGCCACCACCGAGAAGGCCCGCTCTCTCGTCCCCGCCAGGTGTGCCTGTGAGGCAGGCGGGACCGAGAGAAGGGCCCCCCCAGATGATCTCAAGGTCCTCGTGGGCTCGTAGGCCGAGATGCGGTCCGCAAGGTATTTTGGGCCGGAATCGTTTAGGGCTTTGTAGGATAACACCAGCACCTTAAATTGGGCCCGGTAGCAAATCGGCAGCCAATGGAGCTGGGACAACAAGGGCGTAGTACATGGCTGCCGCGCGTTGGACTAGCTGGAGCTTCCGGGCCGTCTTCAAGGGCAGCCCCACGTAGAGAGCGTTGCAGTAGTCAAGGCGGGATGTGACCAGAGCGTGTACTACCGTGGCCAAGTCAGACTTCCCGAGGTACGGGCGCAGCTGGCGCACGAGCCTGAGCTGTGCAAATGCTCCCCTGGAATTAACCAAAAAATGGCCCAAATGTGGACCAAACACAGGCAGGAGACAGAAAATGAGAGCACACACCAACAGAAGAGTCTTTTCTTTTTTAGAATATTTTTTAAGAATAATATTAAAATAATATTAAAAATAATATTAAAAAATAATATTAAAAATAATATTAAAAAAATATTTAAAAATGGAAAATTAACCAAAAAATTAAGAAACAAATTCACAAAAACCGAAGGAAGTAATGAATCCAAGCAAGGAATATAAGCAGCACTCACAGTAGCAAGGAATGAATCCAAGCAAGGAATGAATGAATCCAATCCAGTTGCTAGCCAAGCCAACCTCTTCTCTCTCCCTCGCCCTCTGCAGCAATGAGCTATGACCGGCCGCGCGGAGCCGCTTTGAAAGGGCTCGCCGGCCAATCAAAAACAAATAGCCACGGTGCACTGCTTGGGAGCGCCGGATTGGCTCCCAGGCACCAGCATCCTCCATCCAATTTCCGAAACGGGCGGAAGCTCGTTAAAAGGATGGGGGATGCCGCTTCGTTATTTTAAAACCCTTCCGGGTTTGAAAAAGTGTTTCGATATCGCTTCGTAAATGCTAAAAATAACGAATGTTTTACGAATAACGAAATTAACGAACGAAACCGCACAGGCCTAATAATAATAATGGCGAAAATGGAAGGAAAAAGAAAGAGGGGCCGACCAAGGGCAAGGTGGATGGGTGGCTTCCTTGAAAGGACTGGCTTGATCTTGAAGGAGCTGGAGGTGGTGAAGGCCGACAGGGAGCCCTTGCGTGGGCTGGTCCATGAGGTCACGAAGAGTCGGAAGCAACTGAACAAATGAACAACAAATCATTCTCAAAGTTTTGTGGACCTTCCCAAGTTCTCCACATTTCCCTTTCCATCTTGTGGAACCTTCTCTTTCTGATCAGTCATGGTTCCAGTGTTGTCCCTCTGGGAAGATATGCTTTCCAGAAAATGTGTTGACTATGCATTTGCTTATCACCCATCCACCTCCATCCCCACCTCTGCAGCTAAAGAATGCTGCTGACTTTGAATGCATTAATCCCCACAGTGAGATTAAATATTGCATTACACGTTTCTTAAGCATCATGTATTTCTCCAACTTCTTTTTAAAAAAGGATAGTGCTCCAGAATAAATTATGGCAGAATGTCCTAAAAATATGCAAATCAGGCATGTAACTCTTTGCTAATTTCACTCTTCACAATTTTCATAATTTTCCTCCCACAGTGAGAAACTATTTGCAAAATGTCCGATCACAATTGGTGATTTGTTCTACACAAACTTTACAGACAAAACAGCAACATTGCTTCCAAGTAGCGTTTTCTGTGCAGAAAATTATTTTTGTGCGCAGAAACTCCTGAAGTTTTGTATTTATAGAGAATGTGATTTTTGATGCACAAATAATATGTCAACCCACCAAAATGGGTATTATTTTAAGTAGGAAATTGAATCCCCACCACCAAATTAGATTTCCCCCCTCCCTCCCAATATTTCGTAAAAAAGTTAAAAATTGGGTTTTTGAGCAAGAATTTGCAAACGCAGTGTAACAGGCAAATATAGATCTATGGAAAAACTGGACGACATGAATTGAAAAATGATTTTAGTAAGAAGACACTGAGGATTTATGTTTTTATTGGTTTTGTATGGTTTTTATATTATTTGCTAAATGTTTTTAAATTGTATTTTATGTTGTTGGGGTCATCGAATTGTACCGATTGTAAACCACCTTGAGTCCCCTTCGGGCTGAGAAAGGCGGTATATAAATATGGTAAATAAATAAATAAATAAATAAAATAAGAGACTAGACACAGAGATATGGGGAAATAATGGGCCTATTAAAACTGGTAATTGAACTAAGTAACTAGTTGTGGGGGGGGGGGGGTGGAGCACAGCAACATGGGCAGTGGCATGAGGCCAGGTATCATTCTCTGACTACCTGCCAAGACAACCACTGGGTAAAGTACCTGACCCCAAGCGCACTCCACAGTGATGGTTTGCTGTCCTGGCCGGTCATTACTGGAAGGCCACTCTTGAGGACCTCTCTCCTGAGCTGCATAACCCAATAGGAGAGAGGTAACCCCCCCCCCACTTAAGCCCCAAAGGAGATATTTTGGTGAAGCCCTTAAGCCGTAGAACCTATAGAGGTCGACCCAAAGGTCCCCCTTCACCCCAAAAGAGATGGGTGCCAAGTTGCACACTGATCCGTGTTCTCTCCCCGTTTCTTGCCAGTGACACCTAGTTATGAAGCCCCGACCCCTTTAAATTCCTTACTCCCAACAGTGTCAATATGGGGTAGGCAAAAAAATAAATAAATCCCTCTTTGAGGAGGGAAATAAATAAATAAATAAACCCATACTAAACTGAGGGCGGGAGGATGGGTTGCTCTGCCAGATGCTGAATGCAGTGGGGAGGGGCTAAACAAAGGAGGCTTCCTCAAGCCCCTCTTCACAGTCTTAGGTGAACATTGGTCACCTCAATGGGAGGATTCAAAAGCTCCCCTCCATCCATATGGCTGACCTTTCTGTCTGGAGGTGAGCGTTATTTTTTCAGTTAATCAAACACTCTTCCCTGTGTCAAAATGGTGTGAATTTTGCATAAAACAAATCCCAAACAGTGAAAATTTTCATTAGTTTAGCATTGTCTGTGTTGAGGTTCCTCACCACTTGAGAGATGTTTTTCAACCACTTCAGAATATATTTTCAAGTGTAAATATTGATGTGAGGAATCCCTGACATTGATATTGTATTTTTCTTCATAATATTAAGTAGAAGGTTATCATAAGAGTATATCACAAGGACATTAACAACAACTGGAGAGAAAAAAGATGGTCTTTCTATATATGGTTCCATACACTTCTTCCACTGCTTTAAGAGAAATGTATTCTTGGAGTTAAAACATATAAGAGAAACCAGATTGTCCTTCATCTTATTAGCAAGATGAATTTCAACAACATGAGGGAAAGGTGGTCTTCATGTTATGTGGTTACATATATTCATTCTACTACTTGTTGAGTAGATATAAAGATAGAAGCTATGGTGCCATAAAGTTGGGTGCCCATTTTCAGATGTTTGCATGACTACCAAAGTAGAAGGTTCTACAAGGAGACATTGATAGTCATATCCACATCTTCTGATGTCAACCCAAGTTTGGTGCCCATTTTCAGATGTTTGCATAGCTACCAAAGTAGAAGTTTCTACAAGGAGACATTGATAGTCATCTCCACATCTTCTGATATCAACCCAAGTTTGGTGCCCATTTTCAGATGTTTGCATGGCTACCAAAAGTAGAAGGTTCTACAAGGGGATGTTGATAGTCATCTCCACATCTTCTGATGTCAACCCAAGTTTGGTGCCCATTTTCAGATGTTTGCATGTCTACCAAAGTAGAAGTTTCTACAAGGAGATGTTGGTAGTCATCTCCACATCTTCTGATGTCAACCCATAGATTTTTCCATCAGAAGATGTGGCTGCCAACGTAGAAGGCTTTATAAGGAGACATCTTCTGATATTAATCCATAGAGTTTTCCATCAGAAGAAGGTGAGATGGTTGCCACTGTAGAAGATTCTACAAGGAGATGTTGGTAGTCAACCCATAGAGTTTTCCATCAGAAGATGTGGCTGCCAACATAGAAGGCTCTATAAGGAGACATATTCTGATATTAATCCATAGAGTTTTCCATCAGAAGAAGGTGAGATGGTTGCCACTGTAGAAGATTCTACAAGGAGATGTTGGTAGTCATCTCCACATCTTCTGATGTCAACCTGTAGAGTTTTCCATCAGAAGATGTGGCTGCCAACGTAGAAGGCTTTATAAGGAGCCATCTTCTGATATTAATCCATAGAGTTTTCCATCTGAAGATGGTGAGATGGTTGCCACTGTAGAAGATTCTACAAGGAGAATGTGAAAAAGTCCTTCTCATCAACAGTCCTGAATCTACCACTATTCTCTGAATGGTTCCAGGTTACATGCAATATGAGAAAAAGAGGATGTGGACTTCCCTGTCAATTTAGGACAATTAGGACATAGGAGTTCCATTTCAATAATTGCGTGTCAATATTTACACCATTGTGTACATGGCTCAAACACCCCTACACTTAAGGTATTAACACTCAGAGTTCATCACCTCTGTTTGGCAATCCTGCTTAGGTGGAGTTTGCGTTGTGCTGAGCCCGAGAGAAAAGAATAGTAAACACAATCCTGAAGGTGATTACTCCTATCAGCTTGATAATCAAACACCGAAGTGCAAAGAGGGTGGGTCATTTCTGAGCTATAATTCCCTCTGAGGTATCAATGATTGGCATTGTGCCTGATTGTGTGTCATACCCACCTGGAAGTGGACTGGAGAGTATAAAAAGGTTGGGACTCAAGGTCTTCCACTATCACCTCGCTTGACTCTTCGGCTCCTCCACAAAGGAATAGGTAAGAGAGGCCTGGGTCAATTCAGGCCAAGGTTGGAAGGAAGAGGGTCTTTCCTAACTGAATCTCCTTTTTTTCAGTTCCATCCCACTCATGTTCTAAGAATCTGACTACTGTTGTCAGGACCAGTTTAGGAAACTGATGGACATCTTATGGGTTCCATCTCCACCGTAAATGGAATGCTCTTTGACACCATTTTAACTATTATAGCTAAATGTAATGGAATATTAAGAGTTGTAGTTTACCAAGGCTCTAATCTCTTTGGAAGAGAAGGTTAAAGACCTTGTGAAATTACAACTTCTAGGACAGTGGTTCTCAGTCTGGGGTCCCCAGATGTTTTTAGCCTACAACTCCCAGAAATCCCAGCCAGTTTACCAGCTGTTAGGATTTCTGGGAGTTGAAGGCCAAAAATATCTGGGGACCCCAGGTTGGGAACCACTGTTCTAGGATCTCCTAGCAGTGAACTATGCCAAAGGGGTTCTTAAGACCATCAGAAATATATGTTTTCTGATGGTTTTTGGTGACCCCTTTGACCCCCCCCCCCCCCCGGCGACCTCCCGCCTGAGGTCCCAACCCCCAAGTTGAGAAACGCTGCTTTAGAGCTCCAATTCTTCAAGATACAATGTCAACGAGGACCCCATTGCATTGAACTATGGTATGCCAAAGGGGTTCCTAAGACCATCAGAAATATATGTTTTCTGATGGTTTTTGGCGACCCCTCTGAAACCCCCTCGTGATCCCAGCCTGAGATTCCGACCCCAAGAGAAACGCTGCATTAGAGCTCCAATTCTTCAAGTTACAATGTCAGCTTCCATGGTCCCAGAGCATTGAACTATGGTATGCCAAAGGGATTCCTAAGATCATCAGAAATATATATTTTCTGATGGTTTTTGGTGACCCCTCTGAAACCCCCTCACAACCCCCTACCGAGGTCCCGACCCCTAAGTTGAGAAACGCTGTATTAGAACTCCAGTTCTTCAAGATACAATGCTAAAAGTAGCAAGCAAGGCCTAAGGGAACCCCAATCTCAGAATATCACCCCTTAGTTTCGTCTTACACTTCTTCTCATTCCAATTCTTCTCCAGCCTGGTTAAATCTGAGAATAGTTCAACTTACCTAATCAAGGAGGTAAAGTTCTTCATGGAATACAAGAGGTTGGTCCTCTTCAACGCCTTGGTAGCATCCCAGGAAATAAGGTCCAGGTGGCCATATGGAAATATTATTTAACGTTTTGAGTGAGGAAACATCTCACTTTTCTAAACTCATCCTTTTCGAGATAGGTAGAAGGCAACCTATCTCGAAAGGGATGAGCTTAGAAAACAGTGAGATGTTTCCTCAAGAGAACCCCAATCTCAGAATATCACCCCTTAGTTTAGAACTGGTAGGTATTCATCTTACACTTCTTCTCACTCCAATTCTTCTCCAGCTTGGTTAAATCTGAGAATAGTTCAAAACTAACGGGTGATATTCTGAGATTGGGGTTCTCTTGAGGAAACATCTCATTTTCTAAACTCGTCCCTTTTGAGATAGGTAGAAGGCAACCTATCTCGAAAGGGATGAGCTTAGAAAACAGTGAGATGTTTCCTCAACAGAACCCCAATCTCAGACTATCATCCCTTAGTTTTGAACTGGTAGGTATTCGTCTTACACTTCTTCTCACTCCAATTCTTCTCCAGTCTGGTTAAATCTGAGAATAGTTCAACTTACCTAAACAAGGAGGTAAAGTTCTTCATGGAATACAAGAGGTTGGTCCTCTTCAACACCTTGGTAGTATCCCAGAAAATGAGGCCCAGGTGGTCACGTGGAAATATTATTTCACATTTCCATTGCGGAAACATCTCACTGTTTTGTAAGCTCACCCTTTTGAGATAGGCAGAAGGCAACGTAGCTATGTTCTCCATTTCTTGAGAAGGTTTGGATCCACATGGCTTTGAAACGTCTGATTGGAAGGTCTTTTCTTGGGTTGTTGTGGGATTTTCAGGCTATATGGCCATGTTCTAGAGGCATTCTTTCCTGAAGTTTCGCCTGCATCTATGGCAAGCATCCTCAGAGGTTGTAAGCCTTCGACAATACAGGTCTTCCCTTGTTGATCTCCGTATAGCTACAGGGCCAACTTCTCCAAAAGGCCACCCTAATAATTTCATTAAAATGTTTATTGTAGACATAATTTCAGGTTTGCATCCAGACTCCCTCAGGGCAGTTTCAACATTTCATCATGATAGTCAGGTGTTGTCCCATCTTGAAGGCAGAGAATAACATGAAGATCTCCTATTTAGAAGCAAGATTCGTTGGACTGAGAAGGCATTGCTTTTAAGAAATAGTGCTTTGTTTTGCTAGCCATCCACTCCCTTGGATGCTTTTTCCTAAGTGCATCATCCCCATGACTGTAAATATTACTTGACACGTTCTCCAAGGAAGATCTCTTCTAAAGTCATGCTGCATTGCAACAATGCTGCTTATCTACAAGGGAATCTCAAGTTGTCCTAGTTCTGGAGCCACCCAAGTAGAATAGTCTTTACCTAAGCAATTGTCCATTGAGAAAAGTCCATCTGCTCCAATATATTCTACTTAGGTGGGCAACTGAAGGTGGCTAGAAGTTCCAGGAGACCTTCTCCATCATATCCCCCATGAAAGTCAGGACCACATTCTCCATCATAGCTCCTATGGAGATCATTTTTGGTTGCTCCAGAATGTCCCCAAAGTGTCTTTGGAGATATGAGTGCCTTTCCTAGTGGATCAGTCTTTTCTCTGTTGAAAGACACGTGATCTTTGGATTTATATGCAAGGACTACATGAAAGCAACCAGTGGTGATGGGTTCAAAACAAAAGTCGGCAATCCCCATTTCTCTCAAAGTATGGAGATCTGGGAATTTCCCATTTGTAGAAGGCTTTCATAGGGTACATGATGTCATTCTAGAGCCACTAATAGTCTTAGTGTTGCCCACCCATGGATTAAATAATGAACAAAACGTTGCACGCAGTGCTCATGTACACTCCTGTTCTTTCAGAACAACCACCATCCTGCAAAGATGTCTGCTGCTGGATACGGTAACCAGTGCTATGCCAGCTGTCCTGCATCTACAGTGACGATACAGCCACCACCCTTTGTCCTATCAATCCCAGGACCAGCACTTTACTGTCCAAACCAAGCCTTCGGCATTGAGCAATACAACCCCTGTGCAGGCTCTGGTGGATATGGTGCCATCGGAAGCAGTGGAGGAGGATTCAGTGGTGGCAGCAGTGGTGGTTTAAGCATTGGTGGTGGTATGGGTGGTAGTAGTGGAGGTATGGGTGGAGGAGGAGGTTTCGGTGGCATGGGTGGTTTAGGTGGAGGTGGTATGGGAGGATCGGGTTATGGTGGGCGTACTGGTGGCCTGGGTGGTGGTATTGGCAGTGGTGGTAGATTGGGAGGTGGTTCAAGTGGTGGTTTGGGTGGTGTTAGCAGTGGTGGCAACATAGGTGGTGGACGTAGAGGAAGCATAGGTGGGGGACGAAGAGGCAGCATTGGTGGTGGATCAGGAGTCATCAGTAGTGGTGGGAGTAGAGGCAGCATTGGTGGTGGCTCAGGAGGCATAAGTGGTAGTGGATCAGGAGGCATCAGTGGTGGTGGACGTGGAGGTAGCATTGGTGGTGGATCAGGAGGCATCAGTGGTAGTGGACGTAGAGGTAGCATTGGTGGTGGATCAGGGAGCATCAGTGGTAGTGGACGTAGAGGCAGCATTGGTGGTGGATCAGGAGGCATAAGTTATAGTGGGTCAGGAGGCATCAGTGGTGGTGGACGTGGAGGTAGCATTAGTGGTGGATCAGGAGGCATCAGTGGTGGTGGACGTAGAGGTAGCATTGGTGGTGGATCAGGGAGCATCAGTGGTGGTGGACGTAGAGGCAGTATTGGTGGTGGATCAGGAGGCATCAGTGGTGGAGGACGTAGAGGCAGTATAGGTGGTGGATCAGGAGGCAGCATTAGTGGTGGCATGGGCGGTAGTGGACGAAGAGGCAGCACCAGTAGTGTTGGCAGTGGAGGGCGAAGAGGGAGTGTAGGTGGTGGCATGGGTATTGGAGGATCAGGAGGCAGCATGGGTGGTGGTGGCAGCAGCACCACATACAGCAGTGGCCGTCGATACAGCGGTGGTCGCCGTTACAGTGGTAGTGGTGGTGGATATAGTAGTGGTGGAATTGGCAGTGGTGGGTATAGCAGTGGCAGTTATGGTGGTGGATACGGCAGTGGTGGATATGGCAGTGGTGGATATGGAAGTGGTGGATACGGCAGTGGTGGATACGGCAGTGGTGGATACGGAAGTGGTGGATACGGAAGTGGTGGATATGGAAGTGGTGGATATGGCAGCAGTAGCAGATATGGTGGTGGATATGGTAGCGGTGGATATGGCAGTGGCGGATACAGCAGCGGTGGATATGGAAGTGGTGGATATGGAAGTGGTGGATATGGCGGCAGTGGCAGATATGGTGGCAGAACTGTCAAATATTCTGTCGGCCGTGGCTATGGTGGAAGCAGTGGGGGTGGATATTATGGTGGTTCCTATGGTGGGACCTTGGCTCTCATGCCAAGCGAACCAAGCACCATCTGCTACTCCTGCAATTAAATGAAGATGAGGAAATGACCCAGAATCCCTGGACAACCAGTCCAGCAGAAGACGGACTCAAAGACTGAAATTTCATTGATGGACCAAGCTTTCCTTTGCCTGCTGAGATGTTCTGAGTGAACCACTGCCTCGGCATGTCTGCCCTTGAATTCTCTGTGTGCTCCACTGTGTCCCAAAGCAGTGAGAACTTCACGATCATTTATTCTCCAAGCTCTACCGCTTCTATGTTTCTGACAATGGCTACGAAAAGAGAGAAACCAGAACATTGCTTTTGTTGCCCGCCTTTTCCAAGAAGAATAACCACTGTGTCTGAAAACTGTGTATTTCGAAGGACACATTGGAAAGAGCATCACACTCCCACCCCCACTCAGACTGTGCCAGCGAAGCCTTCCAAAAATCTTGGTGTCTACTGAATTATATCAGAGAATGATAGTGATTGAGATCTCATAGTGTATTTCTTTATTCCCTTTATTCATTCCATTAAAGCTTCCTTTGCATCACAAAACCAATTCGTGTTTTTGCCTGCCAACCCCCAAAATAATGAGACCACACACCAGCATTTGGGTTTAAATATGGGCAATTTTATTAACTGTTACCTGTTAATTTTTGACTGGATCTAAACCTGTGGATCCTGAACTTGGTGGCAAAGCCGAGGTAGTGTCTCTGGCAGGCCTACCCCTTGGCTAGTTAGGACGAAACACCCGGGTCCCCGGGGAACCTAATCTGGGCAATCTCTAAGGAAAAATGTGTCGGAGAAGTTCCTCTTGTCCAGTTATGCGAACCAATTGTACAGGCGTGGATGATTATGGAGGGAATTAATCTCAGGCCTCAATTGTGTATAAGAATATATTATAGAGGAGGCCAATTATTACTTGTAAATTAAGGTAACTGCCACCAACGTGAGGTATTTGAGGTACCACCAATGAGATCTGGCTTTACAGACGCAGATTAATTGAGATGAGATGGTCTTCAACAAAAGATAACAAGTTTATTGTGTACAAAGCGTATGATTGCAGGCTGTTAAATAACTTATAGAACTTTGAATATCACTTGGTTTGTAATATAGTCCATTCTTCCAAATAACACAGCTCGTGGCTAACTTTTACTGAGGTGAAGCTCTTTAGTGAACAACGTTTCCTACTATGAATAGCCTTCCAATTTGATCTTTCCTTGATCAAATCTCTGATCTCTAGTCCTTCCTTGACTAGGGATCTTAACAAGCTTCCTTTAGTCTTCCTTGACTAAAGAAACTGGCCAGGTTTCTCTCTTCAGCCCTTCTAGACTGGAAAAACCTCCAGCTGCTCACACACACCTCTCTCCCAGGCTTTTCAAGCCTCCACACTCCTCACACACACACACACACACACACCTTTTTCCAAAGACGCACATAACTTATTTTGCTTTGCTCCGCTCACTTCTCACTTTCCTGAGCTAGCCTGTCTGGTCTCCTTGGCAACACTCACTATGGATTCAAACCAGATAACTCTAGTTTTAGCTACTGTTACAAACACAAATATATACTCTAACAGTTAAACACATACATAGTATCAATGACTTCTGCACACTCTCAGGGTATCTGAAACCCGACTCTCCCCATTCCTAGGCCATTCCAATTCCCCTCACCTAATCAAATTGAATCTTAGGTGAGTGTTTTACTTAATGCCCTTCACCCCTGAAGGGGGTGCCTTGGGCGTATACCAAATTCTAACTTTTCCTAACTGTTTACTGGGATCACCTATTTAATGCCACGCCATCCCGATATGCCCTGCAACAGTATAGAGTAGGCGAAAAAACTCTCCTAGAGCATAAGAGGGGGAAATATTCCTACCCGGACCCTTAACGGCAACCCTAATATACTGTTTAATGGGCGGGAGTGGTAGGTCGACGCTCAGATCTAGAATGCAGAAGGGGACAGGCCAGCGCGGAGGGCCTGGTTCCACCCCCTTCAAAGTAGTTCCCAAATGGAACGCCTTGCTGTCCTTTGGGGGAGGAGGCAAACCTCTCTCCCACCCTATCTGCGTCGGGGTGGGAAAGCTTTTTCTTTTAAGTCATATATCTTTTCATTGTTGACATGCGGGTTGGGATTCAGCTGATGTCTTTGTGAATAGTTCTATGAGAATGGGAAATAGAATTGATGGCCCTGGACATTCATATCAAGTCATGTAAATATCGTAACAATCTCACAGTCTCTAATTACCGTAGACTCTTCACAAAAGTGAGACAAAATGTATTTCCATCAGAGCTGCTAAATGGCAAACTATCTGGCATCCCCTACTCCCAAAGAGTATGTCCCTGTGGTTGAAATGAAACAGAATCTCTAGAACACATCTTGTTGCAGTGTGGCTATTACTCAGCCCAACGTGGCCAATTCTTACACCCAATCCTGACTCGATTGTCTGACCATTTCCCACAAGGGAATGTCAGACATCTTTTGGAGGACAAGCACCACGGGGTGACCCCATGGTGGCAAAGTTCCTCACAGTGGCAGCAAGACTGAGAAAGAGCCCAGTCTCTGATCAAGGTATTACCTGACACTGTGTAGTATGTGTCTGTGTAGTATATTTCCCTGGTTACAAGGGATCTGTAAACTCCTGTATGTTTACTATTTATTGAACAGTTATGGGTCCGTCGACTCTAATAAAGTTCTTACTATATCAATGTTAGTAGTGTTCACAGTGTGTTAGTGAAGTATCTGATGGATATCAGAAATTTCCAGTGTGTGTCACAAGTGTGCAGTGCACATCACAAGTGTCCAATAAACACAAGAAGTGACCAATGGATATCAGAAATGTCCAACGTGCATCAGAAGTGTCTGAAGCCCATGTGTGCATCTTTGTAAGCTTGGAGACTATGACACAGAACAATGGCTTCAGGAAAGGAGATTCCATATGAACATTAGGAAGAACTTCCTGACTGTGAGAGCTGTTCAGCAGTGGAACTCTCTGCCCTGGAGTGTGGCGGAGGCTTCTTCTTTGGAGGCTTTTAATCAGAGGCTGGATGGCCATCTGACAGAGGTGCTTTGAATGTGATTTTCCTGCTTCTTAGCCCTTGAGGTCTCTTCCAACTCTATGATTCTATGATTTCCAATAGAGTTCTATCCCATATCTGTAGTATCGTTATTGATCCATATAGTTATAATACATAGATCATGATCTAGATCCTCATCGGTGCTTTGTCAATTTTGGCAATGTCTTCACAGGAATTGAAGCAAAAACTTCATCAACCAGGTCAAGGATATCCAGATATTCCTAGCACAGAAAGAACTATATTGTCATGGCCTTTAACAAGTGTGTGGAAACCAAGGAACTGAAGAGTTGGCCAATTTCATTCAATGTCAACACAACCAAGTGAATGGGGATTTGAACTCAAATGTATGAGCTGATGTTTTCCATATTTAACAACAAGGATTATGACTCTCAAGTCCTTCCTATTCTAAATGTGAATGAACTTGCTCAGCCCAAGGATGATAGGTCCTCCAAATGTAGTGTCTTGGCAGTGGGACCATAGGTGACTGTGGAACCCTATTCTTGAGCCGCATGTTCTCCCACAGTGAAGACATTGGTTTCCAGGTGGAAGGTGGTCTCAGTCTGGGTTGGCTTTATGCACAAAGCTTGGAAACCAATCCCTAGTTGGTTAGGCCAAGAGGCCAATTCTGTGGTTGAAGATCACCCAGGTGTCAGTAGCAGTGATCACTATAAGAAGGCACACTTATAAAGAACATTCATACTATTAGTGTCAACCAGGAACACAAGATGTTGATGAATGAGTGACATTTCCCATGCCTGGCTTTGAGCACTATCCAAGATACTGCGCAAATTTGGATAGCTTCTTGAAAATTCACACTGAAATCCAGAGAATATTCAAGACATTTTGATAATACCATCTACCACCACACGGGAGAGCCCTAACATGTAATATCAGTGTTGCATGTGGAATTAGTATGCAGTTGATGAGGCACTAATTCTTAATTGTGATAAGCTGATTGTGTTTGCCACATTTTAATCTCCCTAAATGTTTTAATTTATGACTTCCTATGACCCAAAAACCTAGAAGAAGCTAAACCTAGAAGCCCTAGAACCTAGAAGCCCTAAACAGTTCGGGCCTTGCCTATCTTCACGACCACATCCCCTCCCCTGTGTATCTGCATGAGTGTTAAGATCTTCTAGGAAGGCCCTCTTCGTGGTTGGTGGGGGATGAGGGATGAGCATGGTTGGTGGGGGATGAGGGAGAAGGCCATCTCGGTGGTGGTCCCGAAGTTTTGGACTGCCCTCCTCGGGAAGATTAGGCAGGCCACTACACTGTCCTCCTTCCAGAGGGATTTGAGGACTTGGATGAAGACCTATACCTAGAAGACCTAAACAGTTTGGGCCTTACCTATCTTCATGACCACATCCCCCCTCCTGTGTATCTGCATGAGTGTTAAGATCTTCTAGGAAGGCCCTCTTCGTGGTTGGTGGGGGACGAGGGATAAGCCCTTCTCAGTGGTGACACCAAAGTTTTGGACTGCCCTCCCCAGGGAGATTAGGCAGGCCACTACACTGTCCTCCTTCCGGAGGGATTTGAGGACTTAGATGAAGGCCTAAACCTAGAAGACCTAAACAGTTCGGGCCTTACCTATCTTCGTGACCACATCCTCTCCCCTGGGTATCTGCATGAGCATTAAGATCTTCTAGGAAGGCCCTCCTCATGGTTGGTGGGGGATAAGGGATAAGCGTGGTTGGTGGAGGATGAGGGAGAAGGCCTTCTTGGTGGTGGTCCCCAAGTTTTGCACTGCCTTCCTGAGGAATTAGGCAGGCCACTACACTGTCCTCCTTCCAGAGGGATTTGAGAGCTTGGATGAAGACCTAAATCTAGAAGACCTAAACAGTTTGGGCCTTACCTATCTTCGTGACTGCATCCCCTCCCCTGTGTATTTGCATGAGTGTTAAGATCTAGGAAGGCCCTCCTTGCGGTTTGGTGGGTGGATGAGAGATAAGCATGGTTGGTGGGGGATGAGGAATAAGGTCTTCTTATATTTGAATGAGAAAGAAATACATGGACACCTATCAGACATTGCAATATTGCAGATACTTTAATAGGCAAAGAAAAGACAAGAGTCACCATCTTGAGTATAAGGTTCCAAGTCCAGGAGATCATAGAGTTACACATGAATACTTCCCTCTTGCCTCACTTTCC